ACTAATAAAGCTGTTATTAAAAATCTACCAGAGGCCAGGGAAATGGCTCAGTAGAATAAGCGCTTGCCTGGCAAGTGCCAGGGCCTGAGTTCAATCCCTGGTTCTGCCAAAAAAAAAAAAAAAATCTACCAAAACTAAGGTACATGAAGAAATGTTGAGGGATGATGAAAATGTTCTGTACCGCGTTTAGGTGACACCATGCAGTTTACTGCATCCAAAATACGTAAAAGAATATAAAATATCAACTCTTACAACACTGAAAGATATATTTATTTACTCACCCTGTCCCACCCCTGTCCCCTGGTACCAGAGATCGAACTCAGGACCTTGCACTTGCCAGGCAGGCGCATATGCCACTGAGCTATCTCCCTGGCCCCTCAAATAGTTCTAAAACACCTAAATTCTCTAACGAAGATGGAAAATGAATGGTATAAAGATTTTTCTTTGGGTATTAAATTTTCTTTTGATAGTTTTATATTAATAGATGTTATTTCTAATTTTAAAAACATAAAAATGAATTTTTAAAATGGTAAGCTATCATCTAGATTATAACAGAAACAGGTCATATGTTTAAGTATTATGCAATTCCTTATAGTTCAATATATGAGCTGGGTGTGCTGGCCACACCTATAATTCCAGCACTGGGGAGCTGAGGCAGGAGGACTGCTATGAGTTCAAGACCAGCAAAGGCTATACAGTGAGACTCTGTCTCTAAAAAAGAAATAGGAACTAAACTGATTCTAGCTGTTTCAACAATTATATAATATGAAACTCCTAAATTATGGTAACTGATGCATATAAACAGGAATATTTTATAATTTAAAGTTGCTATTAAATCTTATCTATCAAACAACCAGCATCCTACCCTTCAGATTCTTCAGTCTTTTCTCCACCATTATGAGTAGTACAATTTTCACTTTCTGAAGAACAATTCCTTGTGGAAGCTATACTATGTCTTCCTTAAATACAGACAAACACATACAAAGAAGAAAAGGTGGCGGGTTAGCATTTCTTGCTGAAGCGGGGTTTTTATTTACTGTAATGAGGGTATGTAGGTAGTAGCTGTCCTTTTAATACAAATATTTTTAAAGGCACAGGGAAGAAATCAAACTTAAAAAAAATCACACACTGCTAATGTTAGAAGGGACATTTCATGAAATATTGATATGGCATGTGTCAGTAAGGGTTAAATGTTAAAATCCAACAACTCAAGAAAAGTTTTATATCAATATGCTGACTGGTACTGATGAGATTAAATTAACTCAGCACACTCTAAAGATTCTAGAACCAATTACTCCCAATATAATTGAAGAAAACATTTCTTCTATCTTGCCACTGTGTGTTACGTGAATCTTGTTAACTGTAGTAAAAAGTAGCTATAAAAAAGATTATATGAGAGACATGCAACATTTTCCAAGTCCAAAAAGCAAACAAAACCAAAACCAAATAGTAAGTATAGTTTAGGTCATATTTCCTTTAAAGTTGCCCTGTTTGTTTTTGGTTCTTTTTTGGTTTTACTGGTTTTTTGATTAAATTGTTTTTTAGGGGAGGTTTATTTTTTGTTTTTAGTGCCTAAGACCAAATCCAGGGCTTGCAGCTTGCTAGGCAAGCATTCTACCACTGAGCCAAATCCCCAACCTTTTAAAAAAATATATATTTGGTACAGTGTCTCACAATGCATCTCGTAGAGATCCTCCTGTTGGGATCCCCAGCGCTGGGATTATAGGAGTGTGCCACCAAATCCAACAGTTATAATTTTTAAAGTTCAGGAAGGTACAAAACATGGATAGACTTTATATTGTTTTTGTAAGCCTCTAAACACAGAAAGAAGGGCCGGCCAAATAGCTCAGTGGATTAAAGTGCCTGCAAGCAGGTTCAAAGGTCAGGGGTTCGATTCCCAGGCATGCCACGGCAGCCCCGCCCCTGGGGTGTGCTGAGATGGCAATTGAGACTGGGCATGGTAGTGCGCACCTGTAATCCCAGCTCTTGGGAGGCTATAAACAGGTGGATCACTACGAGTCCAATCTAGTAGTGAGACTCTGAACACCCTGCAGACACTCCCCTAAAATTAAAAAAAAAAAAAATTAAATAGAAAAGTTGACTGGAACATATCAAATTATTCAGATTTCTCATAAGGACACATAGTAAATTTTGTTTTAAAATCTTACCTGTTTTGGAAACTGCATCCTGACCACCTGCAGTCTCCTGAAAATCTCCGTGTGTGTCAAGAAGTGAAGATTTGATGTATGTGGCTAAAGTTTCAACAGGACTCTCGCCAGTGGCCATTAGGGGATTATACTGATTATCCACAGGTGAGCTTCCACTGCTCTTCAGCTCATCAAACCTTTTTGCACACTGTTACGACATAAAACAAGTGGAGGTTGAACTAAAAGACCGAGATATTTTCTTGCCCTTTATTTAAATACTTCTCTTTCTTTCTTTCTTTCTTTCTTTCTTTCTTTCTTTCTTTCTTTCTTTCTTTCTTTCTTTCTTTCTTTTTTTTTTTTGGCAGAACCAGGGATTGAACTCAGACCCTTGCCCTTGCCAGGGAAACGCATATTCCAGTGAGCCATCTCTCCGGCCCCTAAATACTTTTCTATAATCATTTTTCACAAGTAAATATTAGTATATTGGTAACATCTACAAATTGCGTACTTACTTCAACACACAGAAGCCTATGATTTACTTTTTCTCCTTTAAAATTCATGGTACAATTCTTCTTTAAGTAATCCTTTTTTTTTTGGTCCCAGGGATAGAACTCAGGACCTTGTGCTTGCCAGGCAGGTGCTTATGCCACTGAGCTATCTCCCTGGCCCCCTAAACATTCTTTAACCCAAAAGCATAATGTGTTTATGATCCTTATAGAAAAATGAGGACTGACTTTATTAATCACATTTCCCTTTGGTATCCATCTATTATTGAGTGACAATATCAACAATTTAAACATTTGTTATTTTTATATTAACCACGTTTTCACAAGGAATAAGACTAAAGTCTACTTTAATAGAAAGGAAACTAAATAGTATCAGATAACGCTAGATTTTTAAAAATTAAGATAATGAAATCTTCATTGAGGAGACAGCTCAGTGGCATAAGCACCTGCCTGGTAAGTGCAAGGTCCCGAGTTTGATCCCCAGTCCTGAAAAGAGAAAACAACAACAACAAAACAATCCCATAAGAGAATGAAATCTTGATTTTTACTGACAGATTCACATTCTACAAAACATTTTATAGTGACACGTTATGGTCATGTATTTGGGCAGCCTTTGTTTTATGTAATGTATTAGTTGTTCTTGAGCTATTTAGCACATCCAGATTAGCAATTAAGAAAAAGAAATAAATCGTATAATAGATTAGAAAATATCAAGAGTGTACTAAACATAGTAAGGTTAAGTACTCCTCTACGAGAATCTGTTTTTAGGGTACAATATAAAATGCCTTCCTTACTATGGGTCTTCATCAAACGCTATGGCATCCATAGTTATGGCATCCACTTTAAAATCTCCATCAAGGGCTGGGGAGATAGCTTAGTAGAATAAGCGCTTGCCTGGCAAGTGCAAGGTCCTGAGTTCAATCCCCAGTATAAAAAAAAAAAAAAAAAAAAGGCACTGTGGGTGGCAAGTTACATAGCAGATAATCTGGGGGATAAAAAAAGCTATATATATGTAAATAGTAGTACTAGCAATCAGGAAATGCAATGATTCATTTATTTACCAGCTAACTACTAGATATCCAGCACACTTTATTATTATTTTTTTTTTGGATTTTATTTATTTATTTGTGTGTGTGTGTGTGTGTGTGTGTGTGGCCAGCTCAGCCCACCAGGGGGCGGGGCTGGCTGGCATGTGGTGCTGGGGGATTGAACCGCAGTCCCTTTGCTTTGCTAAGCTTGTTCTAAGTAGGTGCTTTAGACCACTGAGCCATCTCACCAGCCCCTGAAGCACACTTTAAATAAAGATTGTTTACATGATTACTAGGTATTAAGAAATATCTACCTAAGGCTTAGTCCTTAGAAAAGTAAAGCAATAGTTTTTTATTATTTATTTATTTTTGTGGAACCAGGAATTGAACTCAGGTCCTTGAGTGCTTGTCAGGGAAGCGCTTATTCTACTGAGCCACTGCCCTGGCACCCAGCAATAGTTTTTAAAAAGGACTTTCATCTAGAACATATAAAAATTCTTACCACTCTACAATAGAAACATCAAAATGTCAAAAAAATTTACGTAATGCATCTTTTCTGTACTGTTAAAAATATTGTCTTTGAGGTAGCAAAAATTGTAATCCAGGACATTAAGAGAACTTTCATAAAACTTAAAAATAAGGCTTTTTTGTCTACTATGTATGAAAACATGTTGAAAGTAATTAAGCTAATGTGAAACTGTTAGTGGGGTTATTAGAACAAAGAGATCAATAGATTAGAACACTAAATCCAGAAACAGAGCTAAAGAATTTCAAACCAATAATAAAATATTTAATAACTGTTGGACAGTTAGTCATTAGAGAAAAAAAATGCTTAAACTCCAGATGGAGTAAAGATTTAAAAATATCTGCTGGGTATGGTGGAGCTCACCTGTAATCCCAGCACTTGAGAGGCTGAGGTAGGAGGATCACGGTGAGTTTGAGCTCAGCCTGAGCTACAAAGTGAGCTCAAGGCCAACCTGAGATGCATAGCAAGACCTTGTCTCGAAAAGACAGAAGAAAAAATAAAAAGACTTAAATATGAAACAAGAGAGTGATCAGGACAATGTAGGCAAATATATAGTATATATAACTTGGAGGTGATAAGAATGCTGCAAGATGACAGCACAGGATGACAGCAAAGTAAAAGAGCTGCAGATTTTAACAGTTTTAAACACTTGTATGTAAGAAACTATGATAGTAACTCTGACTAAAAAGAAACTGGAAAAACACAGGGCAAGCATTAATAGACACAGCACACAGAAAACTACTAAACTCGTAACAAAACCAAGTCACAAATAGAAAAAATAACATGAAACAATAAAATACAAAATTTCAACCTCTCAGGACTTAAAGCAAAGTAAAGCTATAGTGAGGGCCAGGTGTGGTGATGCACACCTGTAGTAGCTACCTGGAAGGCTGAGGCGGGAAGACTGTGTGAGCCCAAGAGTTGGAGACCAGAATGGGCAACACAGCAAGATAAAGCAAAACAAAAAACCTAAAATAAAGTTAATTTATTAAAATTAAAGACATGATTGTGAGAATTTAAAAAATATGCTTGATGTGAAAAATGCACTCAGCTCTGTTAACTAAGGTATAAAAACATGGATGATTTTCTAATGGCCAATACGACACCATGCAACAAAAGCCATAAAAATGCAGGCAGTGGCTGCGGACCTAGCTCAGCAGCACAAATGCCTGTCTGGCAAGTGGAAGGTCCTGAGTTCGATTCTTGAAACCAAAACCAAAACCAAAACCAAACAAAAACATAATATCCATGTGCCCTCTAAACCCAGAAATTCTGCTTCTTTTCTGTGTGTGTGGTACTAGGGATTGAACTCAAGGCCTATGCACGCGCGAGCAGCACTCTTCCACTGAGCTACGTCCCCAGCCCAGCAATTCTGCTTCTGTGATGATCCCCTAACAAAATGGTAAGATATTTGTTACAAAAGTAGTATAGGAGACAAAAGTTGGAAAAAATGGCCTAAATACCTAAGGAAAGGGACTGGATAAATAATTATGTTATGATTCAAATACACTGTCATTAAATGTTGCACAAGTCTATCAACCGGCATATAATGATATTCATAAGATGCTAAGTGAACAAAGCAAGTAGCAAAACGGTACACATTATTTGTGTTAAGAATTAACACGGGGGGGTGGGGTGGCAGGGATATAGCTCAGTGGCATAAGTGCCTGCCTGGCAAGTGCAAGGTCCTGAGTTTGATACCTGGTACCACAAAATAAATAAATAAAAAAAATAAATTTTAAAAAAAGAATTAACACAAGGGAACTGGGGATATGGCTTAGTGGTATGGTGGGCCTCTTGTACAAGTGAGGCCCTGAGGTTAATTCCCAGCACTGAAAAAAATGAAAGGTGTAGAAAATACAAAAGGATACATACAGGTATCAATAGCTTGCCTTAGGAAGGGTTGGATTTATAATTCTGGCTACAGTTCTGCTTTTTTATTTCCTGTGTATGTATTCTTTTTCTTTTCTTTTCTTTTATTCTTTTATCTTTTTGAGACAGGTTTTTTTTTTTTGGTAGCAGGGATCGAACTCAGGACCTTGCATTTGCCAGGCAAGCACTTATTCCACTGAGCTATCTCCCCAGCCACTGTGTATATATTCTTTATGGATGTTTTAATAATAAGTATTGAATATTTTAAAGTAAGTATTAAATATTATTTAAGAATATTCTCATGCTGGGTGTGGTGGTGCATGCCTATAATCTCAGTACTCAGGAGGCAGAGGCAGGAGGATCGCTGCAAGTTTGAGATCAGCCTGGGCTACAAAGTGAACTCAAGTCCAGCTTGAACTACATAGTGAGACCTTGTCTCAAAAAGACAAACAATTAAAAAAAAAAACAAACTTAAAATACTCTTCTAGTTAGTTGTATTTTAGCATCCCCCCATACACACTGTACTGGGGACTGAACCAGGGCTTTTCACTCTGGGCTACATCCCTACCCCTTTTCATTTTGAGACAGCCTTGTTAAGACACTAAGTTGCCTAGGCTGGACTTGAACTTGCAATCTTTCTGCTTCAGTCTCCCAGACTGCTGTAGTTATAGTTACATGAGTGTGCATTACAACACCTGGCTTATAATTTCATTTTTAAAAAAATATCTAGAGTGGTGACAGTGGAGGTAAGAGGATGAATAACAAATTTGATGCCTTGAGAGAGGATGACAGTGGAGACCAGATCAGAATGAAGAAAACAAAGATGGTGAGAAGGAGAAAACAGAACGAGACAAGGGTCAGAGCAGCAGCAAGAGGAAGGCTGTGGTCCCTGGACCGGCAGGACACCCCTCGCAGTACAACCACACTTTCTGGTACTCCAGGACAACCCCAGGCCGTCCCACCAGCTCACAGAGCTACGAACAGAATATCAAGCAGATCAGCACCTGTGCCTCTGTGGAGCAGTTCTGGAGGGTTTATAGCCACATGGTACGTCTTGGGGACCTGACAGGACACAGTGACTTCCATCTCTTCAAAGAAGGAATTAAACCCATGTGGGAGGATGATGCAAATAAAAATGGTGGCAAGTGGATCCTTCGGCTGCGGAAGGGCGTGGCCTCCCGGTGCTGGGAGAAGCTTATCCTGGCCTTGCTGGGGGAAGAGCTCATGGCTGGAGAGGAGATCTGTGGGGCTGTGGTCTCTGTTCGCTTCCAGGAACACATTATTTCCATATGGAATAAGACTGCCAGTGACCAAGCAACCACAGAATCCTGAATCCAAGACACATTTCAGTGCGTGCTGAACCTACTGCCCAACACCATTATGGAATACAAAACTCACACCCACAGCATCAAGTATGTGTTGGGGGTGCTGGGGGAGCAGGCCCCTGAACTTAGCAGAAGTAGCTCCATAGTTGGGCCCAGAGTCGCACGGTTGTACAGGAGATTGGCTTGTGGACAGGAGACAGACCAGACGGGCCAGCCCCTCCACGGCTTCTGGCCATGCTGGCAGGTGGTGTTGGCGAGGTTCCCTGCCTCCTTGCACCATGGGGTGCTGTGGGGTAAAAAGCCCTTCTACAGCAACCCAGTTCCATCACCTGCGTTGCCTTCATTTTCACAGGTGATCTTGTCTTTCTTGTGCTAACCACTAGCTAAAACAAAAGGCAAAGCACTTTTCTTTAAAAAAAAAAAATCTAAATAGGGACCAGGGCTATAGCACAGTGCCACAGAGTCTACCTGGCAAAGGTAAGGTCCTGAGTTCAATTCCCAGTACCCCCCCAAAATTGTCCCAAAAACATCTAAATGGGTGATTTTGAAGATACAATGAACACTGTACTAGATGGAATGATGGAGTTACTGTTAATTTTCTTAGGCTTAATAATGGTACTGTAATTATGTAATAATGTCCTTATTTTAAAGAAATGTATTCTGCAATCCATAGGGATAAACCACTATGGTGCCTGAAAGTTACATTTATATGTCACAGATATCAATCATATGAAGATACTAAACAAAAAAGAAATGCTGAATCTATGTTATATAGATTCGTGTTGTTCTTTCAACTTTTCTATAGATTTGAAAGTATTCATAATTAAAAGTTGGAAAAAGAGAAGAATTTGCCTATTTGTCCTGCTCTAAAAAATAAAAAGGGTAAGGTCCTGGTAGGGCCTGGGAGACAGCTCAGTGGTCTACGTGCCAGCCTGGCAAGTGCAAGGACCTAGGTTTGAGCCCTGGTACCACATGTTATGCCAGCCCTGCGCTGAGCCAGCCATTGAAACGCGGGGTGGTGGCACACGCCTGTAATCCCAGCGCTCGGAGGGCTGAGACAGGAGGATCACTACGACTCCAAGCTGTATAGCGAGATCCTGTACCAAATAAGTAAGAATAATACATAAAAAGTTAAAAAAATATAATACAAATTAGGAAGTATTACTTATTACTGATGATATACAGTAAAAAAAATCTCATCATTTCACAAAGACCCACTGTACAGAAGAAGGAAAGTAATCTTTGAAGGGCTGGTTTTCCCAGCTATAATAGAGGTAGGTGGAGGCCGGGGAGATAGCTCAGTGGAATAAGCACTTCCTGGCAAGTGCAAGGACCTGAGTTCAATCCCCGGTTCCACAAAAAAACCCAAAAAACAAAAAACTATAAGAGAGGTAGGTGGAACTTGACTCATTCACTTGTTTAGTACTCACACATCAAGTATGTATAAAGGGTCAGGAAGTGAGAAAGACGTCTAAAATCTACTGGGGAAAATAATTCCATTTTAATTTCTAGAATTTTAAGGTATTTGCCTACTTTAGAATTCTTTTTAGCAGCAAAAGTTTAGAGGTCAGAATTTCTCAAACTAATGTTCATGGACAAATTACAGGACTCTCTGAGTCTCCTATAAGAATTTTTAAATTCTAACCAAGCACAGTGACACAAACCTATAACTCTAGTTTTCACTCTGGGAGGCTAAGCCAGAAAGATTACGAGTTTGACCTCAGCCTGGGCAACTTAATGACTCAGTGAGACTCCATCTCAAAATAAAAATGGTTTATAAAGGGTTAGGGTTTTTTTGTTTTTTTTTTTAAATTAGGAATTGAACCCAGGGCCTCTTTGCCAGGCAGGCGCTGTGCCACTGAGTTATATCCCTGGCCCAAGGACTGGCAATGTGGTTCAGTGCAAAGGTCTCAGATCAATCCTGAATTCCGAAGAAAACAACAACTTTCAATTCTGAGAATTACATAAAGAAAATTATTTCAGTGATCAAGATAACAAAATATTTCACTGCCCATTCACTTTCATTATTTATAATTAAATTCAAAACAAGACATAACTGCCAATGGCAAAGAAAAAAAAAGGTAAATGTAAGAAAACTGGTCTATGAGAGATGCATTAGTGCCGAGCAAAGTCCAATGGCGTCATGATGCAAAATCGGACTTCACAGCAGGATAAACAAGAGGCTCAATTAAAAAAAAGAAACTTTTACTTATTTATTTGGTATAGGGTCTCGCTATGCAGCTTGGACTCATAGTGATCCTCCTGTCTCAGCCTCCCTAGCACTAAGATTACAGGTATGTGCCACTGTGCCAGGGTTATTGTTTTGTTTTGTTTTGGTACTGGGGATGGAACTCAGGACTTTGTGCTTGCCAGGCAGGCACCAATGCCACCAAGCTATCTCCCCAGCCCAACCACGGCAGGTTTTGGTGGCCGGCATGGCATGTGTACCCCGGGTTCCAGGGCTGGCATTGCATGCAGTATTGGGGATCGAATCTGGGTCCCTGAGTTTGCCAGGCAGGCGCTTAGACTGCTGAGCTATCTCCCCAAGGGGCTAAATTCGAACATATCAATGTGTATAGTTTGTGTCTAGGTATCAAGTCAAATCATATACATATATATATAGTGTTTATACTTACATACAGATAAGTAAAACTCAAATATTTCATCTTACTGGGTTATTTATTTATTATTTACTTTTGAGACAGAGTCTCACTCTTTAATTCAGGCTAGCCTTGAACTATGTAGCCAGGTTGGCCTCGAACTTGTAGCAATCCTCCTGACTCTGCCTCCCAAGTACTGGGATTACAGTCCTGTGCCACCATGTCCTGACTGTTGTTTCTTTACATTGATTACTTTTTCTGTTTTTCAGAAAATAACTGGAGGACGTTACTTACCTCTTTGGGTGTTAGTCCAGGCACAAGTCTTGCAACGCTTTCCCAGTTGATGGTCTGAGGGATTCCGATTAATGGATAAAGGATCATGTCCAGTACCATTTGGTTGTTATTGTTCAGGAAATTGTTGTTTTCTGAATATCCACGACTCATCTTTGGAACTAGGGTTAGACAGGAAAAGCAGCTTTATTTACATATGAAATCCAAATGTTTTCAGAGCATGATAGATTAACTATAATTTCTGCCTAAAAATTATGTTATACTATGTAAAGAAAAAATAAAATCAATTTAAAATAAACATAGAACTTTCAGGCCAACCTCTTCAGATGTAAAAGCATACTTATATTATGAATATTTTGACTTGATAGCCATTAAAAGTATAGTAAAGTAATAAAGTATTAGTGGCAGAATCTGGGTAGTGGGTATATAGATGTTTAAACTTCTTTTCTGTATGTTTGAAAGTTTTCACCCAAACACTTGGGGGACTACGGCAGGAGGATTGCTCTAAGTTTGAGGCCAGCCTGGTCTACATAGTAACTTAAAGGCTAGCCTGTACTACAAATGAGACTCTGTCTTAAAAAAATTTTTTTTCATAATAAAATGTTGGAAGAAAAGTGAATACAATTTATTTTCAAGAGGAAAAGAAAAATTGTTGGGGCCAGGAATTTAACTCAGTGGTACAGCACCTGTCTGACAAGTGCAAGATCCTGAGTTTCATTCTAGGTAACCACCTCCCGAAAAAAAAAAAAAACCCCAAACTTATGAATTTATATAGTAAAATATTTATATAGTAATTAGCAATTTATAAATGGTGTAAATAATCTGTGAAAGTACCCATACATTGCTATTAAAAGAATCATAATTGCTTTCTATCCCTAAGCAATATTCGCTTTTTCCTCAGAGTAAATGTCCATGTCATAATCAATGAGGATTAAGCATATTGACTTTTTATTGACTCAATAAATGAAACTTGGGCTGGTGAGGTGGCTCAGTGGTCTAAAGCACCTACTTGGAACAAGCTAACCAAACACAGGGACCGCGGTTCAATCCCCCAGCACCACATGCCAGCCAGCCCCGCCCCCTGGTGGGCTGAACTGGCCACACACACACTAAATAAATAAATAAATAAATACATATTTAAAAAATAAATAAATGAAACTTAAATTTAATCTGACAATTTAGGCTAAGAATAAAAGCTACTGCATCCTGTAGTTATTAGTTACAAATGACACAAAGATTATATTAACAACTGTAGTGACTATTATGTCCACCTTTCCTATTTATTTGGTTTTCCTTGAGATAAAGTCTCTATGCAATTCAGGCTGGCCCTGAACCCATTATTTAGCCTATGCTGGCCTTGAACTCGAAGCAATCCTCCTGTCTGAGCTTCCTGAGTGCTGGGATTGCAGGCATGTGCCACCACACTCAGCATGTTTACACATCTGAAATAACTTTTCCTTGCAAATTCTTGCTTGTCTTCAAAGGCAATGTGATAACCTCTTGATAGAGTTTAGTACTTACACTCACAAACACATACCCTAACATACATAAAAGCAAATGTGCTTCACAAACGCACCCACTCCTCAAGTGAAGGCTTGCAGGCTTCCTCACTTGGTGCCCCACCATGCCTCCTCTCATCACAACCCCTCGTTTAATTCACAATCCCTTGATAGAGTGAGCCCTTTCTGGTCCTCCCCTCAGTCTGGTAAGTTTTTATTTGTAATCCCATGGAATCCCATTAAGTTAATTCCAATCTACCACTTCCAGTGCAACCCATGGTGAGAATAAAGATACTAAGGCATATTTATAGTTACGGGAAGCCAAGGGGTCCTAAGTCCAGCCATGGTGATGGCTATCTGGAACAAAGGCCTCAATCCAGGGCCAAACCTGGGTTTTATTCAGTCATGAAGGAGTGGCTTGAGGATGAATGACTGAGAATGGCAGGGAGTAGGTGAGTACTGTGAGGTAGACTAGGTAGAGGCATGTGTTTATCTCTGTCATATGCAGAGAGAAGGATATGCAGAAAAAGTAATTTGCATTATATTATGGAGATAGTATCTAATGTTTAGGGGTCTGGGGCCTCAGCTCTAATGTGCAAGCTTTACGGGGCCAGAGAGATAGCTCAGTAGAATAAGCGCTTGCCTGGCAAGCGCAAGGGCCTGAGTTCAAGCCCCGGTTCCGAAAAAAAAAAAAATAATAATAATAATAATGTGCAAGCTTTCAAGCGCCAGGAAGTCACAGACTCTATCCCAGCAAACAGCTTGATCCCAGCCAGCAGCGTGGAGCATTGGCTCTTTGTCCTGTCTCCACCCAGTTCACAGTAAAGAGCAGCAAGTGTGGGTTATCAGGGAAACATGCATGTCATCTTTGAAGACTACCACTAGCACCTTGGCTAGACCAATATGCACTGCTTAAAGCCAGTTGAAGGGATAAGGAAAAATTCTAGCCAGTTCTGTACATATCAATACATGGAAATGGGGTCAGGCACAGCCACAATGGGGACAAGTGCTCTTCTTTCAAGGGAAGTCGCTGATGTGGTCCTCCATATCCGGAAAAACATATCTACTGCTCATCTGATTCAAGGGTGTCCGAACCTAGCAGGCTATAAAATAATGCACACAAAGAGGCTCTAGGTGGTTTTCTATATATAGCTCAACAAATATTACAAGCCCAGCTGTGTGCCATGCACTAAGGGTACAAAAATTCTTACTGCAACCATGCTGTTTTTTGTATTTAAGGAATACCTGGCAGAAAAATAGGTCACTTAAATGTAACACTACCTGACCAAGAGCCAAAGCAGAAGAGAGGCAGGAGGGGCAGAAGAGGAAATGGAACGGCTGTTACTATGTACTGAGGATCTATTAGGAGCTAGAACTCTGCTCTTTACATGTTATTTCAATAAATTCTTAACACATCCCTATAAAATATGTGCTCTTCCCATTTTACAAGATGAGGAAACTGTTTCAGAGAAATTAATTTGAACAAGCTAACAGAGAAAAAAAAAAAAAAGACAGTAAGGATTCAAGCTCAGGTAAAAAAGACTCAAATCCAAATGGTTTCCACTCTATGGACAGGTATTCCATGCGGGAGGTAAAGGCTAGGAATAATGGGCAGTTGAGCAGGGCCTACTAATAGATTGTTAAGTTAGTTTTGTTTCAAATGAACAACTCTGAAAGCTTCTGCTTGTAATGTAGTGAAGGAAAAAAGCTGTGGCATCAGAGAGAAAAAAGAAACTACCCTTAAAATTTAAAATATACAGCTGGGCATGGTGGTACATGCCTATAATCCCAGCACTTGGGAGGCTGAGGCAGGCAGATTGCCAAGAGTTCGAAGTCATCCTGGGCTACACAGTGAGTTCAGAGCTGGTCTGAACTACACAGCAAGACCCTGTCTCAAAAAAATAAAAAATAAAAAATAAAAAACAAAAAAAATTTAGGAACCTTTTTAAAAATCCTTGTACTTAAGATATTTAATTGATTCAGACATTTACTAAACTCCTGCTATGTGCCAGGCACCATATCTGAACTTGGAACATAAATTTACAGATGAAAATAATGACAGATGTTTCTAACTAGTTAAATTAATGATTTCCCCCCCTTTTTTTGTACCCTGGATCAAACTCAGAACCTCGAGCTTGCCACACAGGTGCTTGTGCTGCTGAGCTATATCATCAGCCCATTGTATCAATGATTTAACTAACACTGAATTCTTCGTTGGGGAGGAACTCCTCCAATGTAATTTGTTCTGATGGGAAAATATAGCCTATTTTAGGACAAGAAGTACAAAGGTCCACTGATAGACCAACAATAGTGGGGAAAAGCTGTGTGCCCCATCCTCTGCCATCATTCCTAACCCACCGCCCACCCCCGACACACAGGCCTCTGAGCTCTGGTTTGCATTTCCGCACCATCACATACTAGTTCCAGTAAGTCCTCCACGCTTGTCGAACTGCAGTAATGTAAGTTAGGTGACGATGATGTCTCTGACCAACAGCACAGAGAATCAAAGGAATTACTTTATGATATGACTTTGGAGACCCTAAAAGTACCTCACAAAGGAGAAGTGGTGAAGGAGATGCAGTGTACAATAACAGTAGCTATTTTCTAGGATTGGCTGAGGACTGAGATGTTTAAAATACTGCTCAAGGGTTGGAATGCTGTAAGCTCTCAATGTAACTATGACTTCCACTATGTAATTGTTTGCATATAAGACTGTGATATAATATATCAAGTGGCAGACCTTATGTTGTCCCCTATCTGTTTGTTTGAACATTAAAAAAAATAGAAAGATATTAAGCATTCTAAAATCATAGCTTATTACCCAGAGACATACCTTATTGAAGGGTCAGAGCACTGGAGTGGTTGTATGTGTAGATTCCACAGGTGGACTGTCCAAAGTTGCACCCAGTTTTATTATTTAAGGTATTATCTAGTTCAGGTAGTATCTGTGCTTCAATTTTCTCATCTGTAAAACAAAGGTAAAAATAGTAGCTAGCTCACATACTTCTGAGGGTACTTTGGGTGATAGCTATTACTTGGCACAGGAATATATAATGTTTGTGGTTGTAGTACTACTATTCCTGAGCTTTTGGACTAAGCCGATTCATAAAGACTAATATTATAAATCAGGTGGTAGAGAACTGCAAGTTTGAGACCAGCATGGGTAAATTAGCAAAAGCCTGCCTCAATGGGCTGGGGAGATAGCTCAGCAGTCTAAGTGCCTACCTGGCAAGCGCAAGGACTAGAGTTCAATCCCCAGGACCATCTATTGTGACAGCCCTGAAACCGGGTGTGGTGGCACATACCTGTAATCCCAGGGCTGGGGAGGCCTAGACAAGAGGATCACTATGAGTCTGAGCTGTGTACTGAGACCCTGTACCAAATAATTAATTATATATATTAAAAAAGAGCCTGCCTCAAACAAACAAACAAATGGCTGGGGATGTGGCCCCACATTGAAATCCTAGTTTACAAACACCTTTACATAGTTGTTTGTAAACTATGTTAGAGGCAAACTATGGGGCCACTGAAGATGGCAATTTGGAAGAAATGGAAGATTAAGTACAGCTTAAGAAGAGAAAAAGAAAAAGAAATGTGGACAATGATCCTGAGAAGGAAGATGTAGAAAAAGCTAAGAGGCAAGGCCGCCCTTCAGCTGAGAAGCTGTCAACAAATACCCCCAAACTGAGAAAAGAGATGAATGCTATCACTGATACTAGGATCAACTACAAAGACAGTTCAGGGCAGCAGCTCAGTGAAGTCTTCATTTAGTTACCTTCCAGGAAAGTTATCAGAATATTATGAATTAATTAGGAAGTCAGTGGATTAAAAAATAAATAAATAAAAGAAAGACTTCGTAATCATAAGTACCAAAGCCTGGACAACCTGGAGAAAGATATTGTGCTTCTGGGTCACAATGCTCAGACATTCAACTTGGAGGGATCCCAGATCTACGAAGACTCCACTGTCTTACAGTCAGTGTTTAAGAGTGCGCAGCAGAAAATTGCCAAAGAGGAAGAAAGTGAGGAGGAAAGTAATGAAGAGGAAGAGGAAGAGGAAGAGGAGTCTGAGTCTGAGGTAAAATCTGTGAAGGTAAAAATCAAGTTCAGTAAGAGAGATGAGAAAGGCCGGGACAAAGGAAAAGGCAAGAAAAGGCCAGATCGAGGAAAAGCAAAGCCAGTGGCAAGTGGCTTGGACAGCAATAAAAAGCGGGATGAAAACGACCAGTCAGAAGCAAGTGGGGCTGATGATGAGTGATTCCTGTAGAACTGAGTATTTTTCTTCCCCTCTCCCATTTCTACCCAGTGGCACTGGGTTCTTTCTGTGTCCTCCTCCTCATCCTATAAACTAGCTTTAGAATAGTGCCAGACAAACATGATATCCTGGTGTAAAAAAACCCTTGAGGTTTGTAACATATTGGGACCAAATGGGCCTCAAAGATTAAAACAAACAAAAGCTTTTGATGGAAAATGTGGGTGGATAGTATATTTCTACGGGTGGGTCTAATTTGGTAAAGGTTTGTGCCTGGTTTTATCACCTGTGTGGATGAGACTTTTGTCTTTTGTAGCACTGGCAACCAGGAGAAGCCATTAAAAGCCACTGGTTATTTTATTTTTCATCAGGCAATTTTCTAGATTTTTATTTGTTTGGTATTATTATTTTTTTTTTTACACTGTGGTACATATAAGCAACTTTAATAGGTGATAAATGTACAATAGTGAGATTTCACCTACATATACATTTTTCTACTTTATGCTCTATGATCTGAAAAATGCTTTTTAAATTGTATATGATCTAAAGAATACTTTTTAAATTGTATATAAGATTTATGTCTACTGTAAACATTGCTTTTTTTGCTCTTGGTTTAAAATTTTTTTTGGTTGAAAATGCTATTGAATATTGCGATCTATATAGTGTACTGGATGGCTTCTTTTGTCCACCTGATTTCCAATGTCACCAACGTGTATTGTCTCTGCCTCCCTAAAGTGTACTTAATCTTTGCTTTCTCTGCACAATGTCTTTGGTTGCAAGTCACAAGCCTGAGGCAAATAAGACTCCAGTAATTTAAAAAAAAAAGAGCCGGGGAAATGGCTCAGTAGAATAAGCACTTGCCTGGCAAGCCCAAGGGCCTGAGTTCAATCCCTGGCACCGCAAAAAAGAAAAAAAGAAAGAAAAACCCAGGCTTAATCCCCTGCACAAAAAAAGAAAAAAGATTAATATGATAGATAAAAATGATACTAGTACTTCAAAGAAGTAAGCTGCTAATAAATTGAGTAGAGTGAGCTACACATACTTACCCAGTTTTAAAACCCCAGTAGGACAAGCTGGGGCTTTAATTGTCTCAGTTGTGGGAACTAAATATTAGAAAGACCCAGGGGCCGGAGAGATGGCTCAATAGAATAAGCACTTGCCTGGCAAGTGCAAGGGCCTGAGTTCAAGACCCAGTTCTGCAAAAAAAAAAGAAAAAGAAAGAAAGACCCAACACACCATGTGCCATATAACGTATGCAACAATTTATTATTACTATTGCTTCCCCCTTTCTGCTGTCATGAATGGCATAAAAAACTCCCAGTAATTACTTTAATAACTAAAATTATATCAAGTAGAAAACAACTTTCATTCTTTTTTAAAGAGTTGTTTAGCACTCCCTATAATGAATATGATCATTATGTACACCCAAAATGTACCGATAAACTTAATTAAAAAAGAGTTGCTTATCACAGTTAGGTGATAAAATTGGGTGAATCTGAAAGAAAATGTCCTCTCATATATCCCTGGATGAGTTCAATGAAAAACCTTTGGAAAGAAGGCCTGGAAAAGGTCTTGGGAGATTGTGATAAAGGCGTTGAGAAATTTCTGTTTGCTTTTCTCTGTATCCCACAGGACTATAGTTTCTCTTCTGTGCACGGACTTCTGTTTCTGATTCCCAGAAATGACTGGAGTCAGATTTGTAATACCAAAACTGTTGCTAAATTAATAAGTCATAAAACTTAAAAGAGACTAATTGTACCTTCTGCAACTCACTCCAAACTAAAGATCCACAATCCAGTTAAATGATTATTTACATTGTGCAAAAAAAAAAAAAAAAAAAAAAAAAAGGTAATCATGCCCTGCCATATTAATAAATTTTGAATACTGGGGTTTTATTTTTGTTTTTTGTTTTTTTTTTGTACCAGGAACTGAACTCAGAACCTCACGCTTGCCAGGCAGGCACTGTGCCACTGAGCTATATCCCTGGAGGATATTCTTGAGGAATATTCTTGAAGGAGTTGGTTTCTTACTAGTGAAAAAGACACTGCTGTTCAGTATATGAACAGTGCATGCATCATTTCTCATAGCACAAGGTTTGTGAAGCAAGGAATGGCTTGCTTTATTGTAAGTTGTTTGAGTTTCAGCACAAAGTAGTCTAAAGCAGATTTCAAGCTAAGGACCATGTCTGGGTGGCTTTTTAAAGTCTATGAATATTCTAAAGCACTGTCCATATCAAACAGTTAAAAATTTATGTATATTTCAAATGATACTCCTTCATGCTATATCCATTTCAGAATAATTTAAATAATCTAGATATGAAAACAATTTGGGCTGGAGGTGTACCTCAGTGGCAGAACACTTGCCTAGCATGCCTGTTCTATCTCCCAGCATAACCAAAAACATTTTTTAAATAAAACCACAAATAAATATGCAAATAAAGAGAAAGGTATTTTGCAAAAGGGAAGAGGATCAAAAGATGGAAGGGGTAGGGAGAGGTGAGAGAGAGGATGTTAGGTACCAATTCACCACGAGAAATGTAATCGTACTGCAAACATACTAATAAACATTTTTTAAATTGCTCTATTGTTTAATAGAATATAATCCTAAAGAATGCATCTCTTGCCTGTCCCTTAATCTCGTATCTTGGTTTTGTCCTGGTAGTAGTACTAAAACAATCTCGGTAACTTCCCCACCAGATACAGGACCTGAATCCTCTATCTTCCCCAGGGAAGAGCATCTGAATGTTCTCTTTGTGCGAACATCCACTCCTGTAGACAGACTTTTTTGCCCCAGGCAGTGGTAAGACTGGGGGTCCTCAAAGGCCTCTGTCACAGTAGATAGTGGCGGTAACATTTAGAGGAACCCAAACTTCTAGACCCCTGACCACAAATGAGAAGGGAGGCAGCTGGCTTTGATCCCTGAGAAAGTAAAACTGCACCCACGCCCAGAACGTGGAGGTCAAAGCCCTTCAAAGCCTGGCCCGGGGGCGTCCTCCGGGCATCCCCCGGGCCTTCACTGCTCTCTCACAGCCCCTGTAGGCGTAAAAAATCTCGGGGCGCTGGGCGGATGAGGGGTGAAACAAAGGCGTCCGGCAGGGGCGAGGCGAGACGGAAGCGGGAATACGCCGGAGCGTCTCAGCTGGAGCGCGGGGAGCAAGGGGGCGGCGCGAGCCGCGCCGGCAGGCTGCGCGGAGGGTCGTTCGGAGGCCGGGGCGCCACCCAGGCACCCCAAGTGGGGGTGGGGACAGTGGTGGGACCCGCCGACAGCGAGAGGTACCGCCCTTCGCCCCACTTCCCGTTCCCCGATCCGCACCAGAGTGTCACGGAGTCTCGCTCACCTCAACGGGGCCACGGAGGCCCTTCCTGCGCCTCTGTCACCCGCAGCAGCCAGCGCCCACCCGCTGTCTTGCCAAGGAACCCCGACGATTCAGCCCGCAACTCCGGCGCGAGGCCCGCACGCGCCGCCCACCCGGGCGTCCGCTCTAAGGCGGCGGCCCGGCACCAGCTCCGGGTGCTTGGGGGCGGGGCAAAACTCTAGGCAATGCCATCTGACCAATCGAGAGCCCGCGCTGCAGCGGCGGAGCCAATGAGCGGCGAGCTCCGGCAGGGCGGGAGGGAGCCCGACGGGCGGTGTTGGCAGGCGGTCGCCAGGTTTTCCCAGTGCCTTCCCCTTCTCACTCCCAGGCTTGTCGCAGTGCAGCGTCCCCACCCTCCAAGCGTCTTGTCTCTTAGCAACCAGATCCCTGGAGCCTGATCTTAGGTGACCAGCGCTAAATCCAGAAGAAAGGAGGGTATGTGAGAGAGAAAGGAACTCGTATTAAAATGGATGAAATAGCTCGTAGCTCAGGCCCTTTTGGTGTGTCTACTTAGGGAGAACGAAAATATACATGATCCGGAGGACGCAAAAAGTATCTTGTGCAAAACATTGTCTTTACCAGAAGGTGCCTCTTAAAAATGTAAATCACTTAATTGCAGGCTCGGTTTTCTACATTAATAGCGACAGCAAGTGCGTATAACTGCAGTGAATACTACCAGTGGAAATCTAGTAAAATGCATTAAGCTCAATATTATAAATGCTATGTGCTAATATCTCAATTTTTCACTTGAACTGTGTCTATCCTGGGAAACAAAAGTAAATGTTAGAATCAGAAAGGACAAAAAGCCTGGCGTAGTGAAGCAGGTCTGTAATCCCCGCACGCGGGAGGGAGGCTGAGGCAGGAGGAACACTTCGAGTTTGAGACCAGCCTGTGCTACAAAGTGAGTTTAAGGCCAGCCTCAACTGCATAGCAAGACTGTCT